TTTATGATTTTTTTGAATTTTTTTCTTGAATTTTCAAAAAAAAAAAATCGCGAGAGTCACAGTTTTGCTTCCGCGAGAGGCCCGGTTGTGCTTTCACGAGAGTCACGACACTAGTAGAAAAAGGTCCATTTTTTCCGGTTCATAAGGAAATTTTATGATTTTTTTGAATTTTTTCTTGAATTTTCAAATTTCTGAATTATTTTAACCTCTATTCTCTAATCACCCCTCATCACTGCTCAATTTAACCTCTAATCTCTAATCACTCCTCATCATTCCAAATAATCTAACTTCCCGGACGGTCACCCATCCTCTCACTACCACAGCCTGAGCACGCTTAACTTCCAGGTTCTATTCTCCCTCGTTTCCAAGTCTGCACATGTTGTTTTTCTGACAATAATAAGATGTCAATCCTATTAACTCTCAGGAGTTTAGCTTGAGCATGAAGTCACACATTTCACTGTTTAAGTTTAAAACCATCATTCTAAAAAACAATTGTTGTTGTTGTTGTTGTTGAATAAGTACTTTGACCATTGTTTGACCATAGTTTGACCATAGTTTGACCAGATTTGACCAAAATTCAAAAAAATTGAAATAATTATTTAGTAACACTAATATTCTTGAATAATTATTTACTAACACTAATACTTCTTGAATAAGTAGTTTGACCATAGTTTGACCAGATTTAATGAAAATTAAAAAACTGAAATTTGAGCATAACTTTTTTCCTTTTATAATTTGAAGATTCTAAAATTCTGCAAACAAGTCGTAGGCTGTCAAAATCGGATGCGGATTTTCGTGCTGAACATTTTGATATATTATACGTTTTTTTCTGATATCGTATGCAAAAGTTATAGCCGTTTTACATTTTTCCTACACTTTTTGCAAAACATGTCCAAATTTAAGTTTTTAAATTTTCCTAACTAGTAGATGTAGTAACATAACTACATCTCAAAGGATTTTAACTTTTGAAGTTTTTATCATTTTCTTTTGCTTTTTACAAAACTGAAAAGGCGATACAGGAGGGTAGAATTTGAAAATTGCACCATTAGTACCGGTTCGTGACACCAACCGGTACTAAAGGTCTACCTTTAGTACCGGTTGGTGCCACGAACTGGTACTAATGCCTCAACCCCATTTGTCCCGGTTGATGGCTCGAACCGGGACTAAAGGTCTAACCTTTAGTACGGGTTCGTGTCACGGACCGGTACTAATGGGCATCGCACCCTTTAGTCCCGGTTCGTGGCACCAACCAGGACTAAATGACCCATTTGAACCGGGACTAATGCCCGTACGGCGGTGCCCTAACCGCTCGAACCGGGACTAATGCTCACATTAGTCCCAGTGCGTAATGCAACCGGTATTAATGCTCTTTTCTTGCCGAACCAAAGCCCTGTTTTCTACTAGTGCGACCGTGCCTCTCGGAAATGGAAAAAACACATTTTCGTTTTTTTTTCTTTCGAGAGAGTCATGGTTTTGCTTCCGCGAGAGGTACGGTTGTGCTTTCGCGAGAGTTACGGCCGTGCCTATTCGAAAATGAAAAAAAACGCATTTTATCTTCTTTTTCTTTCGCGAGAGTCACGGCCGTGCCTATTCGGAAACGAAAAAAATTTGTTTTCTCTTTTTTTTTCTTCTGTGAGAGTCACGATTTTGCTTCCGTCAGAGGCACGGTTGTGATTTCGCGAGAGACACGGGCGTGCTTCTTTCGAAAAGGGAAAAAAACCTGTGCTCCTGGTTCGGGTTTTTTTCGGATTTTTCGTCCGGTTTTTTTCGTGAAAAAAAAGTTCGTCAAAATCTATCAACATGGGATCTAGTTTTAAAGATCTCGACGCGATGAATTCAACAGTGAAAGCGGTTCGAGATTTGGACGCACAGTTTAAGAGATAAAACATTTTAAATAAGCGAATCTACGAAAAAAGAGAAAATGCCCAGGTTGCGACAAGTGGCGCACATGCAGCGCGCCACTTGTTGCAACCTAGGGGTTTGGGGTGATCTTTGCAACGAGTACTCCTTAATATGTGATTTCCTATATGTGGCTGTTGCCGTTGCATGTGTTCTAACATGGAGCCCGCCCATATAATGGCGGTAGGAATCAAGAGACATCCGTCCTTGATTAACATGGCTTCCTCTTCTGTCTCTCTCTGAGTTGTCCTAATGGACTAGTCGGTGTATCTGCCAACAACCAAATGGCCGGGTACCCCTAGCCGCTTCTGGCAGCTAGGAGTGGAGTACCCTAATTGAGCCAAGCAAGTAGCTGGCGTTGCATTGCCCTTGTTTTGGCACCAGTGACATAGTAGGAGGTAGAGAAGTTAAGGAGAAGCTTCCGATGCCGTGTGTATGTGTCCTTGGCTCCCAACCACGCTCATACTGCGTCCGTACATTCGATCTGGTCCTTCAGTTCGGCGGACGGACGTACGCAGCTGTATCATCATCGTCGCATGATTGTTTCGATCGACCCTCCCCTGTTGGCACATGCGTGGAGATGGACGAGTAGAATGCAAGCCTCTGACCTCTCTCTCTCTCTCTCACACACACACACACACACACACATACACACACACACACACACACACACAATATTCCCAGGTGTTTTATGCGCTGGAAAATTTCATCCTTTTTTCATTTTTCTAGAATGCAAACAAATGAGCGTATCATTGTATACTAAAGAAGGATTGGGCTGTCTTAAAAAAAAGAAGGATTGGGGTAAAGAGCCCATCCACATGCAGTGTTACAATAACGGAACACTCCACCGTCCACCACACTGGATGGTGGATTTTGTTGTACCTCCATAGCTAGCTGGGACCAATCCTAGATCGTACTAGGACGACATCGAGATCAGAAACAGTCCGGCCCAAGCAGTCAAAATCGTTAGATCGATACGGCAATATATATACGGGTGGTACTGATGATCTTGGCCGGTGACCGTGCCGGTGTACTTCGGCCGGACCATGTATATATAGATTAAATCATCTCTTGTTCTTTTGTCCAATCTTTTCTCTTGTAATAATGCTCAGCTATAACTTGAATGCATGCATGCATATATGAGACTCCATACTCCTACTCCTATATATCATCGTCGTGATCATTCCCAAACGGCCTCTCCTAGTGTCTCCTCCACAAATTATGTCTTCTCGGACACCCCGAAATTAATGGTGAAATAGTGGCCTCGTCCACAAGTTAGGTACTCGGGCCTGGGTTGTCTTGTAACAGCAGCCAGTCTTCTCATCTCTGCGACCCCTTTAGTGAAACCTCAAGGAAGGTGAGCTGAGCTGCTAAAGTCAAGGGTTCCAAACCACTTTAGCAGCAGGGTACAAAGGTGCACCTCACTCTACTCAAACTTCACTACTAGTATACCTTTTGTTCTTCACAACATATATTTACCGTTGGACTACTAGACTAGTTAAGAATACCTACGTACTCATGGGCACGATTTTCCGCATTGGAAAAGGGCTGTAATATACATGTCGACGATGTCGTCCCAACTCATGGGCACGACATTATCATGCATGGACGGGGTACATGGAGCCAACTATATACGCATGTATCCATCCCACAGTACGCCGCAACTGCACCGACCGGAACGGCATGCATTACAGATGGAGGGCGCAGGCAGGCAGGTGTGAGCAGTTGATGCGCGAGCGCGGGAAAGGGACTTGTAACAGAAAGTTCTTTCTTAGCTGCTACGACTAGCATACATCCACTATTCTCTTCACCATCTACCACTACCACTCTAGCTGCTACTACTAGCTCAAAAGGTGTACATTTGTGTGTGAGCCACCGACGTTACGGCCTTGTAGGAGTATTCAATTTCAAGCTGGAGTAGAGTAGCTACCGTGTTGATCATGCCAGCATTTGGTACCAAACCGTCCATCGATCCACCAACCATTACTACTATCGTAGTCGTAGCACATGCGCCAAGATTAATCAAGTCTGAACAAGCAAGCTAAACTTGTAATCTAATTAAGCCGAGCACTCCGTACGTTCTATCTAATCTACAGAAGTGGGTTCAGAATTATTAAGCCACCATGTATCCAGTCAATGCATGCATGCTCAGGTCACCCAGATTTCAAGTTAGCCGTGGCGACTTTGCTTGTGCCTTTCTTTCTGCAAAGACGTGCGGTGCGTGACTTGGAAGGATCGATACCAGGGTCTCGACCTTTAAAGTCAAAATCATAAAGTACACATGCGGCCGCGCAGAAATTCGCGGCAAGAGGTCGACCGAGAAGATAATCGCGGCTACATACTACTAGGTCACCATCAGCAAGTACGTACGTGTACTGCGCGGTGGCGTGCCCGGGTTTGCATTGCAGCCAAGCGTCCAATTGAGCCAGCTACGTACCTAGCTGCTAACTGTTAATTGGTCCACTAGATCACTCTCGCTGATTAAGCAGCAGGGCACCCGTACACTGATTAGGCAGCAGGATTTCGGGCGTGATCAGCTAGCTAGCTAACCTTGATGGCTCTCCAAAGAAACACTTTCAGCCAAAAGGCAAGATCCGAGAGAAAAGCCCGTATCTCTCGACCACGAACTACCGCGATGAATCAGACGAAAAAGAAAAGGAACTTCACGCGCTTCACTTTGTTACAAAGTGAAGCGTGTTAACTGTTACTGAACCAAAAATCCTAAGTAAGCCTTATTATGCACGAGAGCTTGAGCGACACTGTTCACTTAATATCCCGAAAAATAGATCAATTTTGTCCGGAAAAAAAGAGAGATACGCACTTCACGTTTACTCCATGAATTTCCCTTCCACTCCAAGCTAGCTAGACTCCAACACCCAACCAACCGAATTCTGAACTGAAGAACAAGAAAAGCTACTATCGATATCGAAGCTTCAACCTTTTGTTTTCATTCATTTCTTTAACCAATCGATCAACAAGTCAAAAAGAGACTAAAAAGAAGCAAGAAAGAAACTAGAGAGAGAAAAGCAATCAATCGATTCCCCTGAATTTGAATTTGGACACAGGCATGGATCGGTGGAGGTCGAACCGATGATGCATGATCAGACGTCGACGGCGCAGGCGGCGGCCTGCTGGAAGCGGAAGTAGTCGGGGCCGCCGCCGGTGGTGGCGCCGTAGCTGCCCTTGCCCTCGTTCACCCTGATGAGGGCCGGGCAGTTGACCCGGAGGTGGTAGTGGCCGGAGATCCACGTGCCCACCTTCCAGCGCACCTGACCGTCCACCTTGACGTCCACCAGCACGTACCCGGCCGTCTCGTCCTGCGCCAGCGCGATGGCGAGCTGCGGCGGGAGCACGACGCTGTCCATGGACCGGAGGTAGGGCGACCAGACGGACTGGTCCCGGTGGCCCTGGTAGGCGACGGGGAGGCGGGTGGGGACGGTGATGGGCACGCCCTTGTACTCCGCGTACATGTCCGCCTCGTCGTAGTAGACGCCGACGCGGTCGTTGGGGTTGCGCGCCGCGACCGTGGCCTGCATGGTGGTGAAGAGGTAGGCGGAGGTGGGCGGCGTGACGTTGAGGCAGAGCACCGCCAGGTCCTGCAGGTAGAAGCGGGGCTTGTGGGGGCGGAGCACCAGGTAGACGATGAGGATGATGAAGAGGGCGAGGATGACGAGGGCCAGCAGCGCGCCGCAGCACTTGCGGTAGAGCCGGCGGCGGTGGCACTCGCAGCCCCCGCCCTTGTGCCCGCCGCAGTCCTTCACCGCCATGGATAGCCGGTCGGTCGCCTCAGCAGCAGCAGCTAGCGTGCGATCGGTCGGTGCTGGCTGCGCGAAGCTAGCTGCGGGGTGGTCGGTCAGGACTCAGGGGAGGAGGTGTGAGGTTGTGATTCGAGGATGTGTGGGAGGTAGGAGAAGGGAGAAGAAATGGCACTTGGGGAGGAGGTGGGTTATATATCGGGGCGGGGGAGGCAGCGGCAGGAGGGAGGTTGGTGATTGATTGGGGGGTCAGGAGGAGGAGGAGCAGAGGATCAGCATTGGTCAGTGTGCGAAACTACTGTCGCAGCTGCTTGTGCACACTGCAGAGCGTGTGTATGGTGGGTCAGAGTACTTGGTCTTTTTTTTCAGCCATGTTAGTTGATACGCCACTGTCAGAGAGTAATTAGCAGTGGTGGAACCGTAAGCTAGGCTGAAGGAACGGCAGATGAGAGGTGGTTAATGGTGATGGTGGTGGGGGGTGAGTGCTCAGTTCCAAGCTAGGTAGAGCAGCAATGATTCGTGGCGAAAAGGGGCGCCTTTAGTTCCTCCGATACGATACAAAAAAAGCAGAAAAAAAGGAAGCAACCAACGCGAAATTTCGCACACGTTGCGCAAGTGTGCGCGGCCGCCCGCGCATTCGCCCTAAACGTGCCGAGCAAGAAGAACACTCCGTTTCTTTTAGCCATGCCATGCCATGATTGATCGATACTATTCTTCTTCTTCTTCTTCTTGCCCGTCTCAATTCTCCACACAAAACAAGTTGTGAGGCTGAGAGCGTCTCCAACAGAAGCCCAAACAAACGGCGCGCTAAAATAATTTTACAGCGCCATTTTAGTAATTTTAGCACGCCGTGGCCGATTCAGTCCAGCAGAGGCACAAAAATATAGCGTGCAGAGGACAGCGCGCAACAGTTCAGCAGACGCACTAAAAAATAAAGCGCCACAAATATATCTACAGCAAACAGGTCCCTAAACATTTACAAATAAGTCCATCTGATCAAAATAAAAATGCAATTGGGTCCCCAATGGTTGGAGCAAGCTAGCTTGCTGACCTTGCAAATCATCTTCCGCCGGCCACCACACGCGAGCTAAGCTTGCTGTGAATCGCAAACGCGAGCTAGCTAGCTTTAGCTTTCCTTCTAAATCGTTGGAGCAAGCTAGAGAAGGACAACGGCGGCTCCCGGCCGGCACGCGCTCCCGGCCAGCGAACTCGAGGAGGCGAGCTGCAGCCGGCGAGCAGAAGGGCAGCGTCGGCTCCGCCCCGTGCTAGGACGAGCAGAGACGAGCACGCAGAGGAGTGGCGGCGGCCGGCGGCGGCGCGCTGCAGGGAAAGGCTGTAGCGGCGAGCTCGAGGCGGGACGAGCAAAGGAAGCGGAGCAGCTGGTCTTCACGCTTCAAATTATCCAGCGCGCTGTACGCCGCGCACCAAATATCCCGCGTGCGATGCAGAAATTCCCAGCGCGTTGGATGGATTTTACAGCGTCTGTTGGAGATGCTCTGCGCGCTAAATTGACGTTTTTTCCAGCGCGGGCTACTTTTAGCGCCTCTGTTGGAGATGCTCTGAGAGTCAATAATATTAGAGCCAATAAGGAAGAAGCAAGCGTGAGCTAGATGTAATTTGGCGGTGACGGTAACGTTGGACCTTCCCGTGCAAAGAAAAAGTTCAAAGGAATAAACCAGTGCAAAGGTGAACGGGAGAAAAGGGTGGGGCCGGCTGTACCTGGGCCTTGAGAAGTTACACTGTCACTTTGCAGAGATCAGATGCTATACTCCCGCTAAGCCTGAAGATACACTCTGTAGAGTATGTTAACTTTTTCGATGAAGACGCTGCGTGTTAGTGGGGTCGTAACGTAAGCCGGGTAAATGAGAGGCGGCCAATTAACCAATGGCGTTGGAGAGATGGTGTGGGTGAGTGCTGTTAGCTATATATACGACAATGATTGTGCAAAGGCTTAGAGGATTCAGATTAATAAGGAGAAGAAAAGGAGCACCTTTAATTCCAAGATATGTTTGTTACAAACCCAACAAAAAAGTGGGGGTGATGAAGTCAGGAAATTAACGTTGGCCTTCCTTGGCAACATGCATGTGCGCGTGTGTGGGAGGGAGCGGATGAGTTTGGGAAGCAAGTGGGTGGCGAAGCGAGGGTGAGGCGTCCACATCAGAGAGCCAACATACATAATCCCAACGGAAAGCACGCTTAAAGCAGAGGAATAACAAGTACGTACGTACAAGAGGAATCGTACGTAGACACTACTGTATATAGATCCCCGTCAGCGTCATCTTCATTCCGTGTGGGCAGGACAGGCAGCTACCCTGATTGATTATATTACTGTCCGGCGGCAAGGGAGTGCAGTGGCGTCTCCAGCAACTAGAGTTCGAGCTACGTCGGGAACGAATTTCTGGTTTCTCACAAGGGATGTTTCTCCTATATTAATAAATCATGGGTGCTAGTGCCCATGAGTTTCATCTTTTTATATTACTGGCCGGCGATCGAGCTCCCACAGTCTTCCTTCATCTTCCAAAACGACCGCATCGCTGCACAGCACATGCATTGGATACTTCTGTGAGTACGTACGTACCGACAGAGATCATCGGCGAACAAGAGATCGATCGATCGTCAGTACCAGGTACCACGACGTATGCATATAAACACAGAGATATGGCCGTATCGATCTTATCTTACAAGTCAATTCGTCATGTCGGACTATTCATAGAGACGATTGTGACACTACACTAGTATCAAAAATACTCTTATATTATGAGACGGAGGGAGTAGTAGCTACAAATCGACCAGAAGATTAACTCACCGTGCCAGCATACAGTATAGGTATAGGAGAGCGACGAAATTTATATATTTACATGATCGATCATACACCGGCGTGGGATCTTATAGGTGAGTAAAGAGAGCAATTCAAAGCCACGTCTTCTACTTATCCACTCCTCCGTATGCATGCAGCATGCATGTGCCAACAGGAAGGGTTCCAGTCGATCATTATTATCAAAACAATCAATCATAGGAGGACGAGACGCCGATGATGAGCTACGTCCGTCCGCCGCACGGAATCGGAAACTTCTCCTTTCTCCTTCTCCTCCTCCTCCACCTCCACCAACACGTTTGTGCATGTGAATCATCCGGCAATGGTGCCAAAAATGAGATAGGGGGCAATTGGTGCCAGCTACTTGCTCCGTTTAATTGGGTTGGGTCGTGGTTGTTGGCACATGGACTACTAGCTAGTCCAAGTTAAGAACGATTCGGAGAGAGACCAGACACTGGCAGAGAGGGGGTCAGCTGGCTAGCATGTTAATCAGGGACGGATGTCTCTTAACGCTATATTACGGGTGAGCTCCATGCGGAAGCACATGCCACGATGCACGCAATTTGATCAGCAAACGATGTGCATGTATACCGAACGCAGAACAAGCATGCAATGCAAGCCACACGTTTCACAACCATATCAAATGATCTAATGAAATTGTGTGCCTCGGAGAGAGAAAAAAAAGAAGAACGGGGCGGTGGTTCACAGTGGACTGGAGAATCACACCCACACGCGCTCAAATTCACATGGAAAATGGATAAAGAAAAGAAAAATATCTACTATGTGTTATGGTCATTTTCCGTGGCCTTTAGCAACTGTCCAAGACTTGAATAACCTATCTCTTGACATATGAGGTTCATGGGTGGGATGCCGGCGAAGAGGTAATCATACCTATATAGATAGATAGATGGTAAAGCAGAGAACATGAATTCAGTAAGGAAATCTCAAGGATGTCTAGGAGGAAGTGATCATAGAGGCCAAGGATGACAAAGTAAAAAACAGGCAGTGAAATAGCTAGTCTGCTGGGGAGGAGCCAGACAAATATGCCGTCCATGTCATGCCCACACTAGGCCAGCCCTGGGGAACTCGGCAAACAACCTATTTTGTACTTCCTCAAAAGTGAAAAAGTAGTAGTAGTATGATTTTCCAATCACAGGCCGTGTGGCAAAAAGTATGCAGAAGCTTTCATGGACCAACGAATCCTATCGGCAGAAAAATGACAGCCAAAGCCAAAGTAGTACTAGCAGCAGTCAGTAACATTAGAGCTAAGGATGACGGGTGAACTAGATACTTGGCGGCGACGGTAACGTTGGAGCTTCCCGTGTCAAAGGAATAAAGGCAAATGCTTCTAGTGCAAAGTTGAACGGGAGAAAAAGAATTAATGGTGTCGGCTGTACGTGGGCCTTGACAAGTTACACTGTCACTTTGCACTTTGTAAAGATGCTACTACCTGTTCGCACACGAACACGTCACCGTGTACCTCCAACACCGAGGGTGATGCACCGCAGCTCACGTCGAAGGAGACCCGTCCGGAAGCGCGGTACACAAGCAATTGGCGGGCGCTTTTCAAGACCCGAAACCCCACGCGCCCGGGAGGGACCCCGTCTGGACACGCGGAGGCTATGGGCTGCCCTAGGTCGGTTCGCCCGCCCCTAGAGCCTCGAGGATCCCTGCCCTTCAATACAAAGAACGAACGAAGAACGAGAGAGAAAGAACAAGGGAGAGATGTAAAACTAGGGTAAAAAGAAGATGGGTTTTGCGATTATGTGTTGTTTAATCGGCCGTCACCCCTTAGGTATATAAGAGGCGGCTGGACTTCCCGTGCAAAGAAAAGGCTTGGATTCAGTCCAAAACCCTAGTCAAATTAGGATTGATTTTATCCGAACTTTCCAAAACTGTTCGGTTTAAACTGGCTGCACCTTGCGGGTCTTTTTTGTGTTGGTAAACGACCTTGGATGGAAACGAGTCCAAAAGCAATCTTGACGATTTCAACGAGCCGGACAACTTTCATGTTGAGCGTTTTTTGATTCGACGCCATCTTCTGGGCCAAAACAGTCACGCAAAACATCTGTTTCCTCGTGCTACCATCACACATGCGTCTGGTAAGGCGCGCCACATCTCGCCTCATGACAGGGCTGCACTCTGATTGCTCTAATTTTTGCATACGAATTTGGATTTGGATAATTTTTATATCAAA